CGTAGAAGTTTCTTGAGGTACATGTGTTGTCTTCAGAAATTTGATCAAGGCTTTGGCATGAGCCTCAGAGTAGAGTAAGAGAGCCAGCATAGCGATTTTTTAAGGGGTTTTCCCCAGCTGCTCTACGACATCATAGTCGCTCTTCTTAATTATCTTTAAGATTTCCTCCATATCCTTTTGGGTGGTCTCAGGGATAACCAAAGTCTGAGCCTTCGTCATGACAGGCGCTTCTTGGATCCCCTTACCTTTATCGGCAGTAACAGCAGATGGTATAGCTTCGGGAGCATCAATTTCTTCAATTACTGGACATTGCACATATATCTTGACAGGCACAGAAGCACTTGAGGGTCCTAAGACTTCCCGTGGAGGAGCAATCTCTGGAGATAAGATTCTTCCGCTACGAGTTATCTTGTTCCCGAAATATTCCCTATATCAGGAGGTTCTTCATCGGAATTCTCTTGGACTGATTCGATCTTCTTAACACCATGGTAGAAGATCTCTCCTCCATAATTCCATGGCATCGTCTTGTTGGACTAATATTGGATAGGCCTCTGCATGGTAATCTTCAGCGGTACAAGCTTTGGATCAGGCGTAATCTTAACAGGCCTTTTCCAGGTCTTGGAAAGATTGTCGGAAATGATGATTATAGCAATGTCATTGATTGGAGTAACAAAGGTGACAGGAGTAACATGAGTGATAGTAGCAACAGGAGTTTTCTGAAAGAGGATCTCTTGAGTATCCATCAGGCGTTGGTTGCACGATTTCAACAGTGGGCAGTCGGATTGCAAGGTTGAACAGAAGTAACAATCTTTTTCACATCCCAAGAAAATCCCGGCTTTCAACAGATTCATTTTAATCATTGGCAACTGAGTCATTAATTCATCAACAACGATAACATGAAGATCTTCCACAATTGCATGGATATTATGACCATGCTTTGTCATCGGAGCGGATATCACATTAGGTTTTTCGGGGGCATCAAACTCTACCTCCTTGGCATCTATCAAATCTTGGATCTTGTTTTTAAGAGCCCAACAGTTGTTGGTATCATGCCCTACACTGTCCGAGTGGTATGCACATTTTGCATTGGAATGATAATAAGGGGAAGAGGTATTTGGGTTTTTCGGTGCTTCTTTCAAGTTGGTAAGGTTCAGCTTTAACAGATGAGGGAGGACTTGAGCCGGTGTCATATTGATTCGGGTGAATTGTTGTTGTGGCCTTTCTACCCTTTGCTGATTAGCCCTAGTTTGATTGTTGCAAGGTTGATCGGCTGAAGAGTTCTGGATCATCACAGCCCCTACCGTTGGTCGGCGCTCCATTATCCCTTAATTTCTCTGGGTGTGAATAGAAGAAACTTCCTTCTTGGCTGGGAAGGTCTTCTTGATAGCGGTGGAAGCGAAGGCATCCTTCTGAATTTTTCCACTCTTAATGCCAGCGTCGACCCTTTCACCAGTCAGAATTAATTCGGGGAACCCTGCAGATGAGCTCCCGATCAAGTGATTGAAGAATGGATCTGACAGGGTCCCTAAAAACATGTCAACCGGCTCTCTATCCGACAATATTGGCTGCACTCTTCCAGCCAGATCTCGCCACTTCTGAGCATACTCCTTAAATCCCTCATTAGAGGTCATACCCATACTCTGTAGTTGAGTACGAGTAGGCGCTAAATCTGCATTGTATTGGTATTGTCGGTAGAAAGCAGCAGCCAAATCTTCCCAGTTATGAACATCAGATCTCTCAAGTTAATAGAACCAGTCCAATTGCGTACCCGACAAACTATCTTGAAAAAAGTGGACCCATAGATCCTTATCAGAAGAGTGAGGTTGGATCTTTCTGACGTAGGATCTCAAATGCATCTTCGGACAGGACAAACCGTTATATTTAGCAAATTTAGGTACTTTGAACTTGGGAGGAATGACGATCCCAGCAACCAACCCTAGTTCTTCGAAATCTAACCCAGGTACCCTTTGCAACTCCATGGCTTCCAACCGATCCTCAAGATTTTTATACTTATCGCCGGAGGGTATTGTTGTTCGGAGTAATCTTCATCCTGTTCCTCTTCTTCTTATTCAGCTTCAGACTCGGAGGGCATTGCAACTCCCTTTCCTTTACCAACCCCTTCGTCAGATGTCGAGGGGAATTCCAGAACTCTCCTAGCCTGATGCTCAAATCACCTTCCCATAGTGGCCACACCAATTCTTTTCTTTTTCTTCTTTTCTGGTTCCTTCTCCTTCTCTAACAGTGCTTTAAGATCCTCTTGACCCTTTGCTAAGGTCATGAGGAGTTGCTGGAATTGCGAATTCTGTGCTTGCAGATCTTTAACCGTCTGCTCTATATCCATCTTGCTGAAATAAACAACAGAAAGATAAGGAAACCTGGTGTGAATACATGTTTATGCATATGATGAATGATATGTTATTCATGTAATGCATTCAAGGGTTTAGAAATTCAAATTTGTTGCAAACAAAAAGAACACACGTCATATTAATAAGAAGAAATTTGTTAGTACATAAATGCCCCAGGGGCAAAATATTACAAAGCTTCTTAATGTAAAAAGACGTTGCGCATCCTCTTTGGCGCGATGTAAGTGTTGAGAGTCTCCTCTTTGTGAAGTCGGCGGGTAAGTTCCAAAACCTTCTTCTCACTGGCATAGAAGCTGACTTCAAAAGTGTTCCGCTCTTCCTTGAGTTGTATCTAACTCTTTTGCAATTCTTCCAATGATGTTGGCATGTCTGGATGTAGGAGGGTGTATGGAACCTCTCCTTCCATAACAGGCTCTTTGATCACGGGGAGAATGTGAGGGTATGGCATCATAAGATTTTGGGCGTGGGTTTGTACCCACTTGAGATAAGGCTCAAGGGGGATGGAATTCTTGTGCCCCAGTGTCTTACTATCCACTTTGTTGGGCATCCTCCAAGCTCGGATAAACCTCTTTCGAAGTCCTTGAGCATCGTTGTCGAAGTCAATAACCAAGTCAGGAATCAGCATGTCATAAGGGCCATCCCTTCGGGCATACCCAAATTGTCTCAGAGCTAAACAGGGGTTGTAGGTAATGCCTCCCCTAATGCCAAGTAATGGGACATTAGGGAATTCTCCGCAATGATCAATGATGATGACATTTTCTCTGGATCGAGAACACCAATGAACATCAGAATGTGTGAGGGTCATCAATCGTTGTGACTACCTTAAACCCTGCTCATTCTTCAAAATTGTTTGGGGAAGGTGAGAAATAAACCACCTTGATAGAAGAGGAGTACAACACATGAGAACACCTCTTTTCCTCATTATTCGTGTGTGAAATGAGTGTAGGATGTCCCCAAGCAATGTAGGTACTGTTGTACCCCAATTTTTGACCTAAGATCCCTTTTTTATTTTTTGCATTTTTTAAGATAAGTCAAGGTCACTAAATACGGTCGGTTTTAACCTCTCACCTTCGAGCTTTGACTATGCGAAGATTGTCAAGTGTTTTGAACATCTTTAGCATATGTATCACTAATTTCTAATCGCATACAAAGGTGTATGTTCATGTTTCCTTTTGCTTCATGTGCAGAGACAAGTCTGAATCAAGAGCATCAGGTGTCGCGCCTCAATTAAGGTTTTGAGTCCCCCAAGCCCGAAGTACGGTTGATTGTGGATTCTCGAAGACTGATTCATCAAGGCACAACTGTTGCACCCTAAATTTCTCCCTTAATATGTTTTAGTCGCACTTTCATATCATATTTTGTTGTTTGGTCACAATCATTAGTAAATATCTTCATTCATCATATTTTGCATCATTAGTCGTATTTAAGTTGACCAGAAAAGTCAGTTTAAATCAAAGTTTGCATCGTCTTTTAGTTAAAAAAATACTTGACATTTCACTTCATGCATTTTTATCTCTTTACTCGTTTCTTGCATTGCTCCAAGTTGTTTATATGTCGATAATAAAAATATTTTGATTTTATAGACAAACTGTTAAAAGCGATTCAACAATGTGCGAAAAATTAGCGAGAAAAATATTTCAAGTTTTCACCTTTTACCGATCATTTTATGAATCTGCGCTTCGCGTAGATTATGACGGTACGCTCGCTTTATTTTTTCGGTACAGTTCGAAGTCTCGTTTTTAACCTTAAACGTCTGTTTAGTCTGATATTTTTATTATTATTTTATTTTTGATTTTTGACTTCTTGAATATTTTTTCTTTAATCTTTGTGACATGTAGATTATTTTAATGTGTTCATTTTATTTTTTCGGATAAATTTTCGTCCGTTTTTTTTATCATTTTCGGTCATTTTGGGTCTTTATTTTTTATTCATAAAATATTCAAAAAAATCATTTTTTAAATTGAGTTAATTTTAATACATTTAGTTTTTTGGTTATTTTTATCATTTAAGGGCTATTTGGTCACAAAAAATATTATTTACACTGTGCTTGATTCCTATTGGTTGCTAACAAAAGTTACGGATCAGTAAATTGAATTTATTTTGGACGGATCAGATTAAATCTGAAAACAATATTCCTTTTCATTTTCTCTATTTAAGAATCTTCATGTTCTTTGTAACAAAAAAAAAAAAGGAAAAAGACAGATATTAATTCATCTCAACTTTCATCTCTCTCTCTCCACTATCATTCACAAAAACAACAACATAAACCAATTCTCCAATCCATCTCTCTTCCCTGCTTGTACTTGTCTCTCAGCAATCTTTCTGTTTCACTGGTACCAAACATATTGTACATACCCACTTTCCTCAAAACACCACCCAATTTTGACCCTCCAATTAAAAGAATCACAAGACTCAATTTTTCCATCAAATTCAAACACCCTTTTTGCCAAAACAATGACTTCAACAAACTCCACTTCCACACCCACCGTCCTCCCTTTTCATTCTGTAAACCAACCGTTCACAAAACCCAACCAATACTCCCTCTGTCTCGCTCATCGCACGCTCCCTTTAGCCTCATACTCCTCACCATTTTCACACCTCCAGCACAACATTCCCCATTTCCCCCAAATCACAAAAATGAAGTACGTTTTGATCACCGGCGGAGTAGTAAGCGGCCTCGGCAAAGGCGTCACCGCCAGCAGCATCGGCGTCGTGCTTAAGGCCTGCGGCCTTCGCGTCACTTCCATCAAAATCGATCCGTATTTGAACATAGACGCTGGCACCATGTCTCCCTTTGAACATGGAGAGGTTTTTGTTCTTGATGACGGTGGAGAGGTTGATTTGGATTTGGGAAATTATGAGCGTTTCCTTGATGTCACGCTTACAAAGGATAACAATATCACCACTGGGAAAATATACCAGTCTGTTCTTGAGAAGGAGCGTAAAGGGGATTATCTTGGGAAAACTGTTCAGGTGGTTCCACATATCACTGATGCCATCAGAAATTGGATTGAGTCGGTTGTTGTGATTCCAGTAGATGGAAACGAAGGCCCTGCTGATGTCTGTGTGATTGAGCTTGGAGGAACTGTGGGTGATATTGAATCTATGCCATTTATTGAGGCTCTGCGGCAATTTTCATTTCAAGTGGGGCCTGACAACTTTTGTCTCATCCACGTTAGCCTGATACCAGTGTTGGGTGTAGTGGAAAAAAAACATCAAACAATTGGCATGCATTATACCCTCCAACTCTTTTCCTTGTTCATCTTCATAACCTCAGTGTTGTAAACTCGCGGTCATCACCTTCGTGATATCATCCTCCATCTTTATCACTGTAATCTCCTTCTATTGCTCTCATCAACAACAACTGAAACATCCTTCATCATCGATCTTTGATAACAGCCATCCCTTCTATTTTTGCAAATCATCCTCATTAGTTCCCTGCCATATAACAACTGATCATCTTTAAATTTCACGAGCTTCAGATCCACATCCAAAAAACACAGAGATCAAACTTCATAAATTTGAGAATGAAATCCATTTTTCTTCACCACTACAACTGACTAAATACTCCCCGTTGTCAAAACACTTCTACAAGCACTTAACAGTCAAGCACAACTCAGCTGCTCCCATCGCACATCTTCATCTATTCATTGTTACCATCAAGTTGCACGGTATCATCAGTTCACGAGCTATCAGTTCCGTCAAAGGAGTAACTTTCTTGTTACAGCTCCAGCTTCCTCAGGCCAACCGACAGGAATCAACATCCCAACAGTTGCACATCATCAACATCATCACCGCGCCGGCAAAACAGTGACCGCTATGGATGTTGTTTATGCACTCAAGAGGAAGGGAAGGACCATGTATGGTTTTGGGGTACCTCTGCCTCTATTTCTTTTCAATCACCATCAGTACCTTCGCCTATGTTTCTTCTCGACGGCTTCAACGACTCCATTTGGAGCATCGTCATCGGCTTCTTCAATGCCATTTGGAGCACCGTCAATAGCTTCTGTGACTGCGATAACTTCGGCTAGCTCATCGACTTTGACACTTTCGGTAAGCTTTCGATTACTAGTTCATTTGTTTGCATAATTATGGTAATGATAAATTTTCTATGTTAGAATTTTGATGATAATGACATTGTTGTTAGTTCATGGTTGATTAATAATTTTTGTTGTTGAAGTTATTAAATTAGTTTTGAGGTGATGATGATTATTGATTGTGAGATTGAAACTTTGTTGATTTATTAAATTGAATGAAGAACATGTTGTTGTGGTAGTGAAAAAGTTTGGTAAACGCAAAATAACAAGTAACAATGTTTTCCCAATTTCCTCTGTTTCCCTCTTTCAATTTCCTCTCCATTCAATTGTCACAACCAGCTTCACTCCTTCGCAATTTAAACTGGCCTCAAAGCCCATTACACACGCAGTACCAATATTGTAGCCCACTCTTCAATTCCTATTTCATTATTTGCAGTATATTTTGGTTATTGTTATTTTATTTTAGTTAGTAACATAAACTAATTTAGAATTATAATATTGTTTGTTTTTGGGTTTTAATTAGTTTTCTTTTCTAATTACTGTTTTGAATTTACATTGAATAATAACATGAGTTCTTGGTTCTTAATTGAAAAAATTTAATTTTCTCATATGCATTCATGCAATTTCATTTCGATTTATACTTTGTTATTACCGACACATGTTCTATTTGTTGCAATTTCATTTGATTTTATTTTTATACTTCGTGACTACTAACCCATGTTTTAATTGTTGCAATTTCATTTTTATATCTCTTATGCTACTAACAAGTTTGTTTACTGTGAAGGTTTCCGAGAACTGTTTCAAGCGTTCGTTCCCGCGTAGCGCATTTATAATTTTTCTTTATTCCCTTTTTACCTTACTATTTTGATTTAATATTTGGTACTGTAAATACATATTTGTACATGATATTTTGACTGTATATTTTACTTGTAAATAAATTCAGGTTTTGAAAACATTATTTTCATCGCATTATGATTTTATTTTTAATTCCAACTAACTTCTGAAAATTGTGCGGACGCACATAAGTTTCCCGTGCTGTTAGATTTTGTCGGTATATCTCTTGTGATGCAGATCTGACACTGTGAGCTTTATCCACCGCCTTTGCGCTTTATCTGATGCTTGGAGTATTATCTCACATTAGGTTTTTTGATGATGCTGTCGGCTTGTGATTTATTTTCACCTAAGGTTTGATATACTCTTAGCTTATTTATCCGTCTATGGTTTTAACTCCAAGGGAAAGATTTAAATTTGTTGACTTCCCGTCATCTAATGCATCTCACCCGATCGTGCGAATACCCTTTTTTCTCATTTTTTTGTTTGTTTACTATTTTGCTAAACTCAAGATAATTTTTCCAAAAGACCCCATTTTCAAACTCACACCTTTTAAGTCAAAACATCGACACTAGGTCGTCGTATCTTAAAAAAATCTCGTCCATACCCATCTTTTAGCCAAACGAATCATTTTAATCAAACAAACAATTTTAAACCAAAAAAACAGATATTTCAAAAGGTTCCTGCGGAGTACCGCAGATGCATTGGGTGCTAATACCTTCCTATTGTATAACCAACCCTCGAACTCTCGATCTCTTTTCAAAACGCATTGTATTTTTCATTACTTTTAAGTATTATTATACATTGCATATTTTAGGGTTTTATTTCTCTCTTTTCCCTTTTCCCTTGGAAATAATAAAGCGCGGTGGCGACTCTTGCTTTTTGTGAGTCAAGTTAATTAATAGCTTGATCTCCGATTTTCATCGCTACAGAATTGGCGACTCTGCTGGGGAAAGATTAACCTCTTGCTGGTCCTTTCCTAAGTGGGTTAAGCCTAATTTGTTTTATCTGTTTTATCATTAATTGATTGTTTGATTATATGTATATATTATGATTATTTGGGTGTTGATAATATTTACAAAGGACAAGTCCTATACCCGGACTAAGTTACACTTAGGAATAGGACGGGCGGTATAGTCATGTCAACTTTGAGGGAGTAATCCCGAAGAAGGAGGCATGAGATCCTCCACTCAGTGGAAGGCCCTTTTGAACGTAATATTTGTTTACCGAGTAATCGGGAATACATTATTATTTTCGACCTGGGAGCCAGAGAAGCTGGGAACCGTAGAACCATAACCCATCTTGGCCTTTTAGGTGTAGCGCGGAGATTATAACGGAGTAATCCGGAAGTAGTTTTCACGCGATGCTACGCTCGGATGAGTTTCTCTTGAGAATATTGCTGATTATTGAGTAATCAAGATGTTGGTAATATCCGAAGGAGGAATGTAGACTCCGGGAACTCTTAGAACCTTGTTCTACAGGTGTGATTAAACCGTTAGTACATACCTTGGGGGTGTTCCTTACCTTGACTCCATGCTCGTGACGTTGAACCTTTCAACTTTATTTGTGACCTTGCTTGTGGTTGTTGCATAGCCATGCATTCATGCATCCATAAAACCCTTTTCACTTGACTTTGAAGGAATTTGGAGGTCTTTCTTTGTAAACATCACAAGTTTCGTCAAGCTCAATGGATCTTGGGTGTTGATAGGGAGAAAACCCTAATCCACCAAAATGGATGATTGATCTTGATGATAACTTGATCAATGTTTGGAGCCAATTTAAAATTCATCTTCTATCTTCATACTTTGATGTTTACAACTTAATATCTTGAGTTCCTTGCAAGTCAAATAAAAACTCTCTTTTGCATATCATGCATCATTTTACATTTTTTGTTTCACTTTCAAAGGTCTTTTTCCAAGTCTTATTTTTCCTTTGGTCTCACCAGTACAACACTCGCGCTAAGAGAGCAATGGAGAATATCAAGCAAGAGGTTTCTGAACTCCGTAGAGAGATGACTATTTTGAAAGCTAGTGTGGAGCGCTTAACTGGTTGCCGCCCAAGTCAATCCTTCTAGGAGGGACGAAGTGATGATAAAAGTCTTCACTGAAACTCTGAAATCATTCATTCATGAGAAGATGATAATTAATGCGCCAAGTGACTTTCCTGACAAGGTGAATGTGGGAGTGCGTCTAGAAGAAGATGTCGGGAAGGGATGTTCATATGAAGATGGTAGCTCAGCTAATGGTGTGAAGAAGTTTGATAATAACTTTTCCAAGAAGAGAACCAGAGGAAGAAATAATCATCATCAGAATCATCATGTTTCTCCTATTCATCAACAGAATCAGCAAGTCCCTAATCAGAGGAAAACCCAGTTTGATCCAATTCCAATTACTTATACAGAGTTGTTCCCTATCCTGATGCAGAGGAATTTGGTTCATACCCGACCTCCACCGAAGGTTCCTGAGAAGATACATTGGTACTACAAAGCTGATTTGGCTTGTACCTTTCATCAAGGTGCTCCTGGGCATGACTTGGAGGGTTGCTTTGCTTTGAAGATTGAGGCTCAGAAGTTGGTCATAAGTGGTATCTTGTCATTCAAGGATGTTGGTTTTGAAGTTCAAATCAAGCATGCGCCGAAGAGTAAACACGATTGATGGTGATTTTGATTTTTGAAGGATGTTTTCGGTAATTCAAGTCCAGATGGAAAGCCTTCCCAGATTATTAACTTATTTCTGCTTTTTGTAATTTTTCTTGTTTATCAAAACATTGTTTGCATGTAAGAACTTGTTTGCATCTGTATGATTATCTTAATACGATGAGTATGTTTGTCTTGAAGAAATTCATTAGTTTCACTCATATTTGTGTTCAAATTTTAAATTTCTTTTGGCATTATGATACCAACTTGATGCCCATTCTCTTGCCTAGGTAGAGATTGAAGGGAGAATGATGATCTAAAGAACACAAAATCTCTGGTTGTTTGCTTTTGGATAAAATCTTGCTGATGATGTACAGGCATTGTTTCAAATCCCTAAACACCAGAGATATAAGGAAGATAATCCCTTGCTAACCCCTTTTGAGCCTTTGAAGCAAAAGTTTCTTTTCTATACGAAAAAACCTTGAATTTTAACCTGGGGCAGGGTAGTTTTTAGTTAATCTGACTGAGTGTTCAAAATTCATAAGGAAGATGTTTTTTGAAGAGAAACTACGAGGGCTATCCTTCATGTATAGTGAAGCTAGAGGATGTGGAACCACAATGTTATCCCTCATTCATCAAGAAACGAGGCAATCATAATCCTCTCAACAAGCAAAGACAAGCTAATGTCACACATTTTGTTCAAAATGTCAAAAATCGAGAAAAAGAAAAAGCCTGCTAAGTCAAAAAACATGAAAACGTGTGACTTAGGCAAAATTAAGGCATCCCGCTGGACTATCAATTCAAAAGAATTAGTTCAGGCAAAAGTTAGGGAAAATAAAATCGCAAAGAAAAGGACTGCAAAGAAAAGTCCTCAGCAAAGAACAAATTGGTGACTACAAACACGAAGACATGAGGGTGGTTTCTACTCCGAAAGCCTCGTCGTTTCCTTGACCGTCACAAAATCCTTTTGAGAGATGAACACTCATGTCGAATTAACTGAACATAGGATTGGAGAACATCATGAAGAATGGGTTGGCACCAAATATTTTGAGCCTTAAAATCTTTTTCTAAAAACAATGAACCAGACCATGTTACAACCTTCAAAAGTCCTAATTGAAGCAAGGTTATTTTGAAAGCATACTACAATGAGATAGTGTTCCTGACTCCCATGAATGTTGGTTAAATGGTTATGTTGGTATCATATGATTTTGCTATATGAAAATTAATGGTGCTCTAACTCGCAAAATTTGTGCGATATCTTTTCAAAATCTTCAAGACTTACATAATTGTTGCATTAGAATTTTCATTCTCATTGTAAACTTTTTCTAACTGCAAAACAGTTGTTTGATAACAAGGAAGCTCACATATAAGCACTAGTGATGAGTTTATTCCTTTAAGGCCTGAAACTCTGTTGAGTAATTAGAGAATCATTTCAAGAAAAAATCATATCCAGGGGAATGTCACCTGAAGACTGTAAGCACGGACATGTTGCTTCTCCCAGTTAATGCTTTTCCCAACTTGTTTACTCTTTTGGGGCAAAATTTTAAGACTTTGTTGTGCCAACTACAGTCAATCCGGGGCAATCA